CCCCCCCCGCCCACCAGTAGAATCCTATTCAACTTTAAGAATATTCAGGTAAAAGTTCTGAAGACTAAATGGCTGGTGGGGTGGGTGTTGTCGGGGAGGAGAGGAGAGAAAGAAGAGAGGAAATGTTTGATTTTTGCCTCTAGAATTCCTGAAAGGGCTGGCTCTAGGTTAAAAGAAAAATTTCTGGGTAGCATAGTGGCACTTTAATAAAGACTGTGTTCTTTGAAGTATAAAACATTGTATCATAAAGATGTTAAAGCCCCACTGGCCCATTTGTTTCATTTAAATGCCAGAGATTATTTCATTATTTCATAGACGAAATGTCTTACAGCTCTTCTGTTTAAATTTTAGTTGGGTTTACTTAATTTCCTTAAAAGTTAGAATAATTAAGCCTGTGGATTCACCCTTATGATGGACGTGGCTTTGTAAGTGGAAACTACTCCCTTTTCAGAATAGTTAGGTATTGTGAAAAAAATGAACAAATTATGTGAATTAATTGTAACTTTAAACACAAAGCATGTAAGTACTTGTGAAAACTGCTCTGCTTGTTGCTATAAGGTAAGCCTCTAAAAGATTTTTAAAAACAGTTAGTAGTTGGCTAGTGTAGGATGAGAGACGAAAATTGGACCTTTATAGAATTCTTTTAAGATTTACAACGCATTTTCATGTGTATTTCATTTGGGCCTTCCATCTACAAATAAGGCCCGTGTATATTCTCCCTCTATTGCCGATGAAGAAGCCAAGACTTAGAGATCTGAAATGACTGTGTAACACAGCTACTGAACAAAAGAGACAGAATTGGGAGGTGGTAGATATGCCAAATTCAGTTCTTGGGATGCTTAAGAAACTGTTTAGAGTGCACCTTATATTTTATAATTTATCCATAAGTTAGGCCTATCTCAGCATACTCCAGTTTTGATTATTGCCATTCCAGTTTATTGTACACAACTCAGAAGCAACATTTACCTCTCCATTCTACGTCTGTACATTCATTGTAATGGATATGAATAAAAGTAGAAGTCATGAAATAGCCTAAATTTACCAGTCAGGTAAACACGTTGATATATTTTAAAGAGTTTGTTCTGGTGAAATCCAGTTGAAGCCGAGAATGCCCTGGACAGAGGGACATAAGGGGAAGCTGGTAAGCGGGCAGGTAAGGTACTAAGTATTTAGCATACGACTATGTATGATAAGGAAGGAGTGCTAAATCAGGAACTGGAAAAATAGAGTTCATGAGTACAGAATTTACCTTTTTATGTTTAACATGATTGTTAAAATTTCATTTCAATTTGTCTTTTTGGGGGGGGGCATTCAATAAAGTGATAAGAGAAACCTCAATTTCAGCATTTGCCTATTAATTAAGTTTCCATAGAAACAAGGTCAGAACGCCAAATATAAAGTACAGGCACATTGGAAGTTTGCTCTTAATGTCTTTATTTCAGACAATTTTATAATCAGTTTCCCTGGAAACTGAGAAATACCTACTCAGATATGAAACATTTTGGCTTTTCTACAGTGAAGAATTATTTGGTTACTTAGAGAAAATCGTACATAAATGATGCTTTGTCTTGTTCTTCAGAAACACTGGAGAAGAACATCATTTCTTCAAGCCATTTCAAAAAAGTAACTCCTAAGAACGTAGTATAGATTTCAGATAGACTCAAAAGAATTTTTTTTACTTGTCTTTAACAGTATATCTAATATAACTGATGGTAGTGTCATAATAGAAAATAAGATGCTACGGTCGTAGTATCTGATTTTATTTTTATTCGTCAACTTTTCATACAGCCTTTATGTTGTGACCTTAGGAGCTTTGCTAATTTTCTGGTGAAAGGTGCTCTCCCAAGTGACCCCTCCCTCCCATTCCCCTGAAGAGTGGGTAGGGAAGGAATTGGCAATATGATGTGGGAAAACCTCTGAGCAACAGATCTTTCCTCTTTCCAGTAGCCATTTTAAACACTTTTTTTTTTTTTTTTTACTTTTTTTGGTGACAATAAACATTTGATGTAAGAGATTTAGAAAACACAGAAAAGTCCTTCACTCACACTCAGAATATCCAGAATTTTTATTAATATTTTGGTGTCGATTCTGCCTGAACCTTTTGTATGCATATAAACATAACACTGTGTTTATTTTACAAAGATGAGATTGTTCTTTATGTGCCACTTTGTAATGAAAAGTAATGACATGAAGCTCCTGGAACTGTGCTGACACCTAGAGAGTGCTCCAGGATGATGTATTTCCATGCAACTGCACATAGCTCTACAGCCTGCCTTTTACCAACTGTTTACTGTGCCATCGAATGGTTGGAGCATAATTCATTTACCCAGCCTTTATGGTTGAGCATCTTATATAATCCCACTATAATGCTTTATTCAGGGGACACAGATAAAAACTGATGCATTGTATTGATACTTCCCTGTAGCATTCTGATTGTATACTTTGTCTTATGACTTAATTGAATTCATAGGGTGAGTCATTTTGTAGTTAAAGTATTTTAACATTAAATGTTCTTTTCCCCAAATTAAAGTTACCACTGGTTTTTCACTGAACATTAGATTTCCTCTTTTAGGTTTTCGTGGTTCTTGGTAGCCTGTCTTGTGTCTTTGATTCTGAGTAACTATACTACTCTAAGAGATCTGAAATTAACTCTGGTCTTAGGTGACAGACACATCAAAAGACAGCATTAGAAGAAATCGTAGATGATGTGGGAAAATTGGGAGAAACTTAACTGGTTTTGGGTACACTGAAACATGATTATTAGGCACCATTCCAGAGGCAGGACAGACAGTGGTTAGACAAGACAAAGCCTGTACCCTAACTCAGGTCCTTACTTTCTAGAGGTGCCTGGGGGCTGACAACACAAGAATAATGTCAGGTAGTGAGACACTGAGAAGAAAGAAAATGAAGGTAATGGGCTGGGGAGGAGGACAGTTTTACAAGTGGTGGTTAAAGACAGCTTCTCTCCTTAAGCGACCCATGAGCAGTCCTGAGAGAGCCATGTGAGGATGTGGGAGAAGAGGCTTCTGTGCAGTTCCTAAGAAGGGAATATGCTTGATGCGTGCAAAGGACAGAAAGATGGGTGGCTGCAGCTGAGTGAATGAATGCCAGGAGGAATATAGGGGATTAAGACCTTGGATGCCTGTGGACCTTGACAAAAAAATATGAATTTTAGTCTAATTGTAATGGGAAACCATTGAAGGATTATATGCAGGGGAATGATGTTAATTCTTAGAAAAAGGGAAGGGGGGTAGAGAGTGGAGGGAGATGAGACCAGCTACTGTGTGAGAATAGACTGTAAGGGTGGAAGGAAGCAGGGAGGGAAACCAGTTAGGAGGCTGGTGCAGTATCTCAGGTGAGAGCCAACAGTGGCTTGAACAAAAAAGCGATATTATTAAGGGCCTAAAATAGGCTGGAGTATATAGATTGCTCTTGCATTTCATTTGATTCTCACCATGTTCTGAGTTAGGTAGTGTAGTAATTTTTCTCTTAGGTATAAATTGAGTTGTCCAAGGTTTTAAAAATGAGTATTGTTAGAGAGTAGGACTGTAAATTCCAAATTCATGGCATATAGGAACAGAATTTATTCATGACATTATGTGAGCTTCTTTGGAATACTACCTTTTTTTTTTTTTTTTTTGCGGTACGCGGGGCTCTCACTGTTGTGGCCTCTCCTGTTGCGGAGCACAGGCTCCGGACGCGCAGGCCCAGCAGCCATGGCTCACGGGCCCAGCCTCTCCGCGGCATGTGGGATCTTCCCGGACGGGGGCACGAACCCGTGTCCCCTGCATCAGCAGACGGACTCTCAACCACTGCGCCACCAGGGAAGCCCAATACTACCTTTTTTCTCACCCTTTTGTTGTTGTTGTTGTTTTAGTGTATTAAAGTAATAAAACTTTAGAGTTAAAACAGTAACACTGCATAATGTGAAATGAAGGTAACTTGCAACCCAGAAACGTTCTTAGAAGTCCAAGAAACTGAGTAAAGTACTCTTTAGCAATATATAAAGCCAGGTATACCTACCTATATGTCACTTGTCAGTCATGATCACTGTAAAACTGATTGAGGATTAAAATAAGGCAAAACTGAGAACCAAGGTAGAGGCAGGTACAGAAGCAGTTGGAAACCAGAGTTGGGAAGTTTGGAAGCCAGGATTGTCAGAAGCTAGGAAAGCAGGATCAAGGCTTGGGTGAGCAGTAGACTGGCAGGTGCAGAGCCTGCTGTGTACCCCTCTGGTGAGGCAGCCTAGCTCAGGGCTGGCTGGCAGGGACTCCCTGACTGGGGTGGAAAGTGTGGACTCAAGGAGATGAAATCATCAGTTTACATGGTAATTGTAAGAATTGTAATGTTTGTATTATGAGCCATAAAACTAATACATTGTACAGTATAGGGATGCTAGGGCAGTTCAGTAAATGCAGTGGTTACCTTTAAGTAAACTGGTGCTCAGCAGTTAGCCCAGAAACTGCTGACATCTCCTGTTTATTTGGAATATATCGAAATCAGTATGTTGATATTAATCTCTTTCTGAAATATGCTGCTTCTGTCAGATGCTTTCTTGGTCACTTCCCTCTCCCTCTAATACTTTAACAAGGAAAAATCATTTATTGACAGTTTGATAGCATAGTTTTAACACTTTTAGCCTTCAGTAATGCATTTCATTTGTTCTAAGTTGCCTATATTTTCACATTTTTAACAACTGCAATTGAGATGGATCTTAACAACTGGTAGAATCTTAGATTGGAGGAAAAACAGTATTCAGTGTCGGTGGTGGTTTCCTCTGAGGAATGTTTACATTAAGACCCGAGTTTAATTTCTTTTTCATCATACTTTTTCTACATCTACCTATCATGCTGTCAAATAAGTTGCAATTTAAATTGATAATACAAAAGTGATGGGTCTTAAAATACAATTTTAATCATAACCCCTAATCATGAGCTCAAGAATATTTCTCCTGGGTAAAACATTCTCAGAGGTTTCTAAAGAAATAACTTTAGGAAGAATCCATGTAATTTCCTGAATGCACAGTAATTTCCTGAAGTCTCTAAATTACTGTGTGTGCATGTGGTGGGGAGAGGATGAGAGGGATGGTGGGCGGTAAAGCTTTGCTTAATAGTTGGCAGTCTTACCTTTGTGATGGTGAAGAGTGTGGTAGGTTTTAACATAGTCTCCTTAGGCTCTTGGGAAGATAGTTAAAGGAAAGTGCAGAAATATTGTGTATATGTATGAGTTTACTGTCTAATGGCTCACAAGTCCATTCTATAAAATAGTGATGTGGTATTTTTCATTAGCAAGAAGGGCAAGTTATATAGAAAATTGTTAGTTATATAGGCTATAAACAGAAGATTAATATTTTCTGAAAACCTCATGCAAACTGACAGTAGGGCCCTGGTGTTTACAGTACATTCAAATGATAGGCCAACTCACCAAAGTGGAAATAACACTGATAACTGTGGGAAAATGGTCAAACTGTGTAATCAAAAGAAATACAAATTAGATCTACGGTGAGGTTCCTCATTCATATCAGTAGGAATTTTTTTTTTTTCAAGTATCCAAAGCAAGGGTAGGAACTCAAAATGTCATGATTGGTAGCATTATACCCTAATGTGTCCCCCAACCTTCTTAGGAAGCAATTTAGCATTGTACATGGAGCCGTGAAAGTGATCTAACCTTTTGGCTTCCCACTTCCAAAGATCTTTGCTAAGGAGATAAAACCATTATTTTAAAAAACTATATACATGAAGATTTTCCTCATAATATTTTAAGAATAGAACTTTGTAAGCACCAATCCCCAGCAATAGGGGATAGGCTAAGTCCAGTATAGGAATAGCACTTGATGGGCCAGTGTGTATTCATTAAACAATAAAATGCAACAGTGGGGTGGAGAGCGCTTGTTAGTAACAAGAAGACATAAATTGTACACTAATTAGAGCTTTTTTTAACGTATAAGAAAAGCAACTAAAAGTAATGGTTGTGAATCACTGTGTTAATGATTGTGAATGGTTGTGTTTAAGTTTTAAACAGCATTGTTTTGGCTCATGCAGATTTTCATGATATTTGTTAAAGGAATGAGCAAGTGACTTTCACCTTTCCCCACCTTTAGTGTGATCATCAGTACTGCTGATTAACCAGGTCTCCTTCAGTTGCAAGTTAAAAGAAATTCACAGAGTTAAGCACTACTTGACTCAGGAGTTAAATGATCTCCTCAGTTCTGCTCTCCTCTGTTGATGTCTCCTGAAAAGCCTTTCCCCTCATGATAGCAAGGGGAGTGTCCAGCAGCTCAGGACAAGCTAAGGATCCTAGAGTACAGTTCTGTCTTTCTCTTTTCTTGGGAAGTCCCAGGGCAGCTGTGATTGATTGGCCAGTCCTGGGTCCTGTGCCCACCTTTGAACCCCCTAGGATAGAGTAGGGAGAGTGCCAGCTTTTTTCTGGTCACTTGGGCTAAGTTTACTTTTTTTTTGCATGTTGTCATTTCTTTTCTCCCAGCCTTCTTGATTTTTGTATTTAGATGTGTAGTAGCACATCTTGGTTTGGCGTGTGTGTGTGTGTGTGTGTGTGTGTGTGTGTGTGTGTGTGTGTTAAAGCTTGCTTCCCTTTGATTCTGGTACTTACTTTTCCTGGACTTCCATTGAAAATTGTTAAGTTTTACCATGCCATAGACAGTGGTAAATAATATAGCTACTTTGCAAACATTTCTGCTTATTTTTTAGATTCAAATGTAGTCTATTTACTTTCTTTTTTGGTATAGGTAAGTAGTCATGAATCCTTTCGGAAGCCATAGGTTAGAGGCAGATGTGAAAGTCTCTGCCTGTCATTTTGTGTACAGCTGAAATAATTTATTTTCCCATTGTCTAATTTTCAAATACGTAGGAGAAAAAAACTTTAATTTTATGGGTCTTTTACATAAAAATGTTGAATAGAATATTTTCTCCAAAAGCAGCTTGATAAACTTCAAATTCAGTGAAGGAATTTTCATGAAGAACAAAGCAGTTGGTTTAGCTATGTAAATTACTAGTGCTGGCAGTAACATTAAAATGGATGGCTCAGATTCCTGTTAAAATGGGAAGTCCAAAATTACTGTTCGTGCAAAATTCTTTCTGGGCGGGAAAAGAGGACTAGGTAGATACATTTGTGAAACGCTGGGTTAGACAGAATTCACTACTAGACTAATTAGTTTTTAATATATCAATGTTTGTATTCTTCTGATTCTCTAAGAGGCAGGGGTATATTTGTATTTCACTTTGACCATCAAACCCCTCTTTCAAAAACAGATCAGTTATTATGTGGTTTGGGAAATAATTGCCTTAACCATTACTCTTTATCTGAATTGTGGTCCAGTTTCTTAAAAGATTGGTTAAATGGTTTGAGATGGACTTTGCTGAGGAAGTGTCATAGGGCTTCTATGTTTGTTTGTTTTAAACAACAACCTTATTATCCTATGTGGTAGCTTGTGCTTGCTTTGTATTTCTGCCTAAATAGAAGACACTATCCTACCTTGGTGCAAGGTGGACTACAGGCAGACCCACCTTTTTATGTAGGTGTGGCCAGAAGTTTTTTTCAAGTAGCCCTATGATCTGCTCCAGGAAGTACTCTTATTGAAGCCCCAAATTAATCATGCAGCGTGGAATGAAGAAGTGAGAGTTCAGCTTTGGAAATAGAGGGCAAAGTTAAAAATCACTATCACGGAAGTGTTCCTATAGATTAGAACATTGAACTTTTAAGTAGTTCTCTTAAATCTGCCATGACGAATAGCCCCCAGATAAACCACAGCCAGTTAAATGAGTTCATTTGTTGAATGGAGTTAGAATTAGCCATGTGATTGTCTGAAGAACATTTGCCAAAAGCAACTCACTTGGTGTTGGCATATTTGATACATTGAGCTGGTATCTGACAGTAGTTGGCCACAGCATAACTTGCTTCTTGAGACTGTTCCTGGAATGTGCTAGTAATAATCAGCTTTAAAGGAGGGTGACTGAATTTTTAATTGATAAGTAGGAAGGGAGTCACATATATGATTCATCTAAAAATGGCATCGATTATTTAGGTGCAAGTTAAAGAAGTCTAAGACATAGCCATGGTTTTATTCCACATGTGTGGAGAGTTTCTACAATTTTGCTGTTTCCCAATAGAATTTTTATATTGTGCCTTTACTAAAATTGCCTTTTTGTCATTACTAAAAGCTCTTCTCAAGGCTATTAAACTGGTTTATATCAATGTGTTGCTGTCTTTAAAATCATATATTTTTCTACTCAGCTAAATCACCACACCTTTTTCTCTTCTTCCTGTACAGACTTAGCTTTGGAATCAAACCCTTCTGACCACCCAAGGGCAAGCACAATTTTCCTGAGCAAATCTCAAACGGATGGTAAGACAATGTTTTTTTTCCCCCCTGAGAAAAAGAGTGAAAACTGTTTTTGTTTTGTGTATTATAGGAAGTATTTAGAAAAACTTACAGTGGTTTAAATGTTTCACTTTTTCATGTATTCACTTGTCTTATTTTAATATGTTGATGATACACTTTCCTTTAGTTGTCAGTGTTTTAGTGAGGAGAACACTTAGACTATCTGTTTATACATTTTGCCACCTCTTTATCAACATAGTCAACTGGCCACATGATTTAGATGTGGTCTATTTCTCCGTGCTACTTTGTCCTTTTCCGCTTGCTCCAAAGAGCACATATGTTAAAGATGAATGATGGGGTTTAGGTCACAGTTAGGTTTTCATTTGATCAAATCAGAAAAATCAGTTGTTATATATGGGAATTGAGCCTTGTGATTTTGGCCCTGTTTTACCCAGTGTTCAACCAGACGAGCCTATCTCACGTCCAGATTTATGCTACTCAGAACTTTTAAGATATTCAAAACTTTCTCATCCTAATGTAGTGCTGTGCCAGGGTAATAAGAGCAACATGCCTTATGGGGTTTCCCAGAAGATTATCCTCAGCATGTGAAACTCACGTAAATTTCCTGTGTCCTCCTTGTTTTAAGATGAGAATCAGAACTGTAGAATTTTTTGCACTCCTGCTTGCCTGCTTGTCTTCCTTAATGTTATGTTAAATCCTAGTTTATTTGCTAAAAAGCCATACATGACCAAGTTTTTCAGTTGATAACGAGAGCAGGAATACAAGAAGTGAACATTCCACAATATTTAAAGTGATGCAGCACAATAAAAAACGGAGGTTTGTTTTTTTTGTTGTTGTTGTTTTGTTTTTTGTTTTTTTCCATTAGATCACTGCTTTTTTATAAAAGGGTATAACTCAGGAACAGCCAGATGGAAGAGATGCAAAGGGCCAGGCATGGGGACAGGGCACAGAGCTTTGATGCCCTCTGCAAGGGTACTACATGTTCACCAACCCCGGAAGCTCCCAGGGTTTCTAACTTGCATTTTTCTAGTGTGTGTACTTGAGCCACTCATTTCTGGTTAGGATTGCTCTGTTTCTCAGTTTCTTCCAGAGCCATGAGCTGCTCACATGTAGAGGGGCTCTGGAGACGGTAAAAGAAAAGCTGCCCCATGCCTGTCTCTCTCTTCAGCCTTAAGGAATCCGTGCCTGTGATGCCCGTCTGGAGTTAAAGGAGGCAGTGTGAGCAAGAGTGTGGCCCAAGACCCTCTTCAAGCTTTTATTCTTCTGGCCTTTGTTGGAGCAAAACAGTTTTGTGTGCTGTAGATGTGTTCATTTAGGTCGGCACACTCATTTAAAAATTTACATTTAACATAGGTTACTCTCCAGTTGTGTATTTTTTCAGTAAGGTATTTGAGTAGGTTACCATTAAGTGGTTCAGGATGCTTCCAGAAATACTGGTGCGTCTAGAGACGAGTGCCTGGCCAGAAACTGGTTCTTAGGGTCGTCATCTGTAGATTGTGGTAATTAAAGTAAGCTGTATGTAAATGAAGAATTAGAAAATACTACTGGCTAGTAGTTCAGCTGTGCAGCAGGTAAATTTTTTTATTAGCTAAGTTTCTCACCTGGCCTAATTTGCTTTGTCCTTTTCTTGTGTAAATGGGGAGTCCTTCATTTGTACCTAATACAGAATATCTATTAGGTCAAAACAGTAAAACTAAGTTTTTATATTTTATTTATAGGAGTCATTTTGTTGGGTGATTTAAATTATATATTTTGTTGGAAATTATTTTAAAAAATAGAATGGAATTTTACCTCATTGTGTTATTGGTAATCCATCAGATAATTAGCAACTACTTTTATTTTTCTATTGCATTTGTATCAGAATTCATCAGTTAATTTTTTTTATTCTTAGTGCGAGAAAAGAGGAAGAGCAACCATTTAAACCATGTAAGTAAACAGTTGAAAAGTTAAGAAATTAATAGTTTTAATTAAAAATATGTCTGCCATGATTCCTAAAAAATATGATGGATCCAATACTGTAGAATCTTTTTTGTAGATTTTCTAAATCTCTATTTTCCTAATTATCAAATGTATTCAGGAAAGTCTTTGACTTAGTAGTGCCCATTTTTTAAGGGTTCTGACATTTAAGTTAAATTTCAATAATATGTTTGTAAGTATAAAGATCTGCCTTAAATTCTTTTGCCTTATTTTTTTGATCTTATTTTTTAACCAAAGTAATAAAAGTATAATAGGTAAGTGAATTTTTAGCACTGTCCATTGACAAGATCTTGTCATAGCAGGTGAAAGCTTAGCTTCTTAACTCCACCATGACGTTATTTCCCTCCCTCTGTTCCCTCAACATGTATCAGTTTTTATTAAATCAGAATCAATGTTTACATTACTACGACTCTGCAAATTTGTGTGTGCATTGCTGAGCCATATAGTTCTCTGACTGTGCCTCCTTCTTGTACACCCTTCATTCTTTTTCTTAAATATTAATGACATTGGAGCACTTCTGCACTTCTCTAGGATAATCCAATCCCCCTTTTCCTAGCCAACGTGATCTCACACAGCCAGATGCAGTAAGTAGCTCCCTGCCCGGTCTCCCTGCTTTCACATTCTTCATTTTTTCTGTGGAATTAATTTCCTGACTATATTCACTTGCCTGTTTTCTAACAGCTATTTTTTTCCCCAAATGTTTTACCATTTGTCACATGCCTATCAAAAATATTTTCCATCCACTAAGCCACATCTGTTCCATTTTTTTCTTGGAGACACTTTACCCCAATCTTTTGCCTTCCTACTCCCACATAGACTGGTGTTCCCCTAGGCCTGCTCTGTGCCTCTTTTCCTGGGATATCTGTGTGAAGTCATCTGGAATCTCACATAACTCTGCTCTCTTGTGTTGGATCCCGTATGTCCTAGATTCTGTTTTCCTCTTGTTATACTTCCTTGTTTTACTGGAGCACATTTTCCTGAGAAAAGAGCACATGGGCAGAAAGTTTATAGAGATCTAGCCTCTCTGAAACTCCTTCTATTTGATAAAGTATAGAATCCTAGGTTGAAACTAATTTTTGCAGTTCTAAAGACATTGCCCTCTCATCTTCTCATTTACAATGTTGCTCTTAAACCTGTTGACATTGTATGATACATTGTACATTACCGATTTTAGTCATTTTTCCCCATCCCTTCCTTCTCTGGAACCTTTTAGTACCTTCTCTCTCCCTGGGATTTTGAAATTTCATAATTTGGTTTGGTATAGACCTTTTTTGTGTGTTTCTTTGATATTCTGTTTTTTTCTTCCAGGTTCCTATTATTCAGATGTTGGAAGTCTTAGACTTATCAGATCGCTAACTTTTTTCCCCTCCTGCTTTGCATTTTCTTTTTGTCCTGCTTCCTGGAGATTTCCTTGACTATGCTCTAATCCTTCTATTGAATATATTGTTTTCTCTACCAATTTATAGAGTTCTCTTATATCCTGTCATTCTTTTTTTCACTGATTCAATTTCAAGTTTTCATTTGCTCCTGAGTTTTATCACTCCCATCAATTCCTTCTTCCTGTTTTGTTTTTGTTTTTTTTTTAAAGCATCCTTATATTTTATTTATTTATTTTTTGGCTGCATTGGGTCTTGGTTTCTGTGTGCGGGCCTTCTCTAGTTGCGGTGAGCTGGGGCTACTCTTTGTTGCCGTGTGTGGGCTTCTCATTGCGGTGGCTTCTCTTGTTGTGGAGCACGGGCTCTAGGGCGTGTGGCCTTCAGTAGCTGTGGCTCATGGGCTCTAGAACGCAGGCTCAGTAGTTGTAGCACATGGGCTTAGTTGCTCTGTGGTATGTGGCATCTTCCTGGGCCAGGGCTCGAACCCGTGCCCCCTGCATTGGCAGATGGATTCTTAACCACTGCACCACCAGGGAAGTCCCATTCCTTCTTCCTGTTTTGATCTCTTACTTGTTGGGGGCTTCCCTCAAATGTGTGATGGTCCCTGGCTGGCTGTTAAGATCTAATTGGAAGCATCACTTGGACAACTCGTTAACTGATGGGCCTCACTGCAAGGATTTGGGGACCACGCCTCTGAACTCTGAGCCTGCCTTGGGTTCTGTAAGACAGACTGGTTTTCTTGTTCCTGTCTTAGTCACTCTCTGTAGATACCAAGGTTGTGCTTCCTCTGTTCTGCCATGTCAGTTACCACTCCTTTATCTAGTCTTTTCACCTTTCAAACGTTAAAAATCATGTGCTGTTTATCCTGTCTTATGTATAGGCTTTTTAAAAAATGCCTTTAATTCTAATGAGATGATATCTCTGAAAGAAGGGGGAGAGGAAATAGATTTGTGGTCAGTCTACTCAAACTTAGATTTATTCTTTGAATATAGGTTCTGAGTTTGAAGTTTTAATTCAATATAATTAACGATATTAATTCAGACAATATTTTTGATTATACCTATAATTAGAATATTATACTTTTCTACTAAGGCCTTGAGTATGAATTCTGTTCAAACTACTCACCCTACCATATTGTCCATTAATGTGCAACATAGATGGAGTATTACGAATTTTTCAGTTAAAGTCATTGATTCTTAATAAACATAATATCCAAAAGTTGTGAAAAGGGGGAGGAAAAAAGTGAACTTCAGCTTTATTCTTTGAGTAGGTTAAAGTCAGAGGCAGTAGGCACAATGGGAAGATTCATTGGGTGGGGGCAGGATTTCAACAATGATAAGTTTTGGGGGTTGTTACTTACTAGCCTCCTAGGTATGATTATTTTCCAGTCTTCACCACTAAACCTGAAGTCTACTAAGCAACTTTCCCCTTGTAAAGACTGTAAAAGTCCATATGTTCTGTCCTTAGTGCTGAATGAAGATAAATACTCTTCTTCAGTGACCAATTGAAGTAATACCTATGAACATTAAACTGTCAGTAGTGTTTTTTGCTACTTGGCTTTTTTTGTATTTGCATTTTATACCCTTATGTGTGTCAGTGTAGTTTATTGAGGTTGCGAGCCAGCAACGGTAAGGCTTTAATCATAAAGGACAGTTATCTTAAATTTTCAAGCAAGATGAGAGGAAAGTAATCTGCTGGCAGCTAATATATCTAGGCTTTGCTCAGAGGCTTCAATTCTGCCGTCCTTTAGTGAATGCTAGATGCGGGAAAGTTTGAATAGTTTCAGGAGTAGGCCTGTGGAAGTGTTTCTTTTGTAGGATCGAGCCAGTAGACTGTAAGTTGCTGATACATTAAGTGAGCCCCCATAGGACTATAGACCACATCTAATTAAAAATTTTAAATGTTTTAGCACTAATATTTCCAAAGACAAATCAATATATATTCATAATAGAAAAAAAAATTTTTAATAGAGGAAAACAGGTTAAATAGCACCCAGAGCTCTACCAACTAGTCGATATTTTGGTACATTACTATTTTTATTCCCCTTATATATAGAGATTTTGGGTCAGAATTGACTTTTATTACGTGTAGTGTATGTCATATTATACCCTAATAGTAGTGACCTTAAAAGTTAACCTGCTTCGTTTAGAATCAAAGTATTTGAATGAGTGAATTTTCATTTTTCATGCTGTATCTGTTTTTTGAGATTCTAAAATTACACATTAACCAAATAGCTTAAGGGCCATATCAGAGTTTTAGTTTAAAACATTTCTAGCTTGAAGGAGAAATTAGTCTTCCAAATAGTGATACTTTTCAAATATGTTACATCTAGAACTTTTTGTTAATAAGGAATAAGTGGCTTTGCATAAAGCATCTGAAACAAGCAAAATGGTGTTTTATATACCATTTGGATATTTCTGATTATTGGATACTGGCAATTTTTATTTAAATGCTCTGTATTTTAAAAAGCATCAACTAGATTTTCTCCCTGCCTCACCTTTCATGTATTTGTGGAGGACGCCGATGGGAGAATGTGATAGCATGGTGAAGACTGTTTTATATTAGTAGGAGGAAGGAAGGCTCATCTGAATTAGTAAACAAACGAAAACCAAAAACAAAACCCAGCTTTAAAATTGTTTGTATTCTGTGGTATTAAAGAATGCTACTATTCCTTCCAGTTGCTTTCCGTGATTGGGATTTGGTTATTGGCCTTACTTTAAGGAAGAGAATTGTCCTAACATAGTTTAGGCCATTTTAGTATTTGACTATTGCCGTGTTCATGGGCTCTTCACAAATAAATGGATACTTCTAAAGTGTTTTAAAGATAGTTCATTCTCTAGAGGGTCTCAAAAAAATTCTTTGTCACCTATCCAATACCACTGCAGATAAATTCTTACGAATTTGTATCTTTAGTTAAGATTTACCTTCTAGTTGTAACTGATCTTAAATAATTTCTCAAATCCTTGTTGAATCCTAATTTGTTCCAGATTCTGTGCTCAGTAGCTGGAGGTAGGAGAAGAATCTTCCTAACCTGGAGAAGCTTGTTTACTTAAGAGAGTAGTACTATGCAAGCAGCTGAGACCATGGAACAGTTGGTAAATTAGATGTGTGAGTGTGCAGAAAGTGAGAAGTTTTGTGGTATGCCTGCTGGCAAAGGGATCCTAGAGGAAGATGGGGTCAAGCTTGCTGGGACAGGAGGAAGAAAAAGGCATTGCAGGCAGAGAACAGCATGGGTGAGGCAGGAGTGTCAGATAACACATAGAACAGAATTAGTACAGTTTTGAAATGAATGGAAAGTGTTCTCTGAGGTTCTCACTTGAGTAATGTAATGGCAGTCTTACTTAAACATAAAGTGAGAAGTTAAATTCTCCGAGTTGTTTTATCCGTTTTTTTGGATGCGAGAGAATCTTTAAGCAATACCTTTTTGTCCTCCCGATAAGGAAATTGAGGACCAGAGAGACTTACGGCCCCCAGCTTTTTAGTGACAGAGCAGCTCTGGCATGCCCAGCCTCTGATTCGAAAACGTTTGTTTCGTCACAGTGTCTCCTGAAGTAATACATTTATTACTGGTGTTCATTTACTGCAGTGAAATGCTCCTATGTCGGTATTATATAAAGCATTACGTTTTATTGTAGTAAATGAATAGAAATAGGAAATCTCAGCTGCATTTCATTGCTTGAGGAAAAAACCCTGAAATCTTATTCTAAACTTTTTACATTATTATAAAGGTAATTTATAATAGGTGCTTGCCAGGGTTGATTATAGGTACTATATCAAGGCAGCATTTTATAACTCATTTCTCAAAGCTCGTCTGTGGAAGTCAGAGTATAGAGGTTTCCCATAGAGCTGCACATGATATCACACTCAGGGAGTTCATGGAGTGTAAGAAAAATCTTAATGCTTTATCGTTTGACATTTTAACCAAGGAAAAAAACACACTTTTATAGGTTTAACTTACTGTGACATTTTCTTCTATTTCCCTTCCCCTTCAGGTATCTCCAGGGCAGCTTACTAAAAAGTATAGCTCATGCTCAACAATATTTCTAGATGACAGCACAGTCAGCCAGCCTAATCTTAGAACCACAATAAAATGGTGAGTACAACTAGGTTGCCAAGGGCTGAGTGACAGACCCCCTTATCGCTAAAAGCATCCTAGCCATACATAATTTCATTCATTTGAATTGTCCTTTTCAGTGATCAGGTTAAAAAACTGGTGTCAACTATATATTGATTTCAAGGACCTAAATATGAATTTTCAGTTTCCATTGTAATCTTACAGTGCATGATAGAAGGGAAAGCCAGTTAGCAAATAAGAAATCCCAGAAAAAGTATAAATCTTTATTTGATGCATTTCTGTTGTTAAGACATTGTTGAACATAATGAGAAAGAGAGGTAGTTTTTATTGGCTATTTCTAGAAAAACTTATTTCTTTATGAGCTGTAGTCCTAAAACAACATATACTACTTTGGAAGCTACTCTTAGAAGAAGGAACAGATTGTCCCCTACTGGCACCAAAGTGAATCTGCATTTAAATTTAATTGGATTTTGTCAGATTTATCCCACTGTGCATTTTTTTTCCTGCACTATTTCTGTATGAAATTTTACTTCTCCTTCCTGTCCCCCAAAGAGGGGGAAAATATATCAAACCAGTCTTAAGAAATACACACTCAAGCTTAATTTCTTTGTAGATGAAATTTGTTCAACTGAGGTTTTAACTTAATAGATAGATTTAATTTTTGTTTATATATATAAATATATCTCCAACACACAACTGTATCAGTCACAGCAGAGAACAATAAAAGAGGTGAGGTTTCGGAAACATGGCTGTGGTCAGGCTTATACTTAAGAAGACACGAACAGGGCTTCCCTGGTGGCGCAGTGCTTGAGAGTCCGCCTGCCGATGCGGGAGACGCGGGTTCGTGCCCCGTTTCGGGAGGATCCCGCATGCCGCGGAGCGGCTGGGCCCGTGAGCCATGGCCGCTGAGCCTGCGCGTCCGGAGCCTGTGCTCCGCAAATGGGAGAGGCCACAACAGTGAGAGGCCCGCATAACGCAAGGAAAAAAAAAAAGAAGACACAAACAGTGTCATGATGACGAAAACTATTCCTTAATTTCTGGGAGCACCTCATAGTCCACAATTGGAGACGCACTTTCAAAACACCCTAATGATGAACCTTTCAAGTTTATTGAAGAGAAAAAAACCAAACAGGATGCAGAGCTTCTTGCCTCCTCCCTCGTGGTTGTCCACGAAACATTAACATCTCCTTAGGATATGAACGTTGATTTTCCAGAACAGTTTGGGAAATGCTATTTGAAAATATTAATATCCTTATCCTTAATTTTATTTTTCGTCTTAAATTTATAAGCTAATTATATTTTTAATTGTTTTTTTAATGTGCCAGCTTTTTTTTTAGCTATTTAAATTATCAGTAACTTCAACTTTAAAGACTGCAAGTTCACAGTCATAATAATGTAACTTTCCTCTCTTGCTTACAATAATAGTTGCAGTCAAATCACGTTTCAGCAAAAACTGAGCCCCATCTCTCTCTAAAGTCCTGAGTTTGGGCACTCATCACATAATCACTGAATGTTTTTATTCAGCCAAGACACTGAATCTGTGGGTACAAAAACCACTCTACTTTGGCTAGAGTCTCAGCTTCTTTTGAATTCAAAAGAGTCTGATGTCCAGTATATAATTCAAAAGTACTTTGAAGATTAACCTTGCTCAGGGACTTCCCTGGTGGTGTAGTGGCTAAGAATCCACCTGCCAACGCGGGGGACACGGGTTCGAGCCCTGGTCCGGGAAGATCCCACATGCTGCAGAGCAGTTAAACCCGTGCGCCACAACTACTGAGCCTGCGCCATAGAGCCCGCGAGCCACAAGTACTGAGCCCGTGAACCACAACTACTGAAGCCCATGTGCCTAGAGCCCATGCTCCACAACAAGAGAAGCCACCACAATGAGAAGCCCATGCAGCGCAATGAAGAGCAGCCCCCGCTCGCGGCAACTAGAGAAAGCCTGCGCGCAGCAACAAAGACCCCACGCAGCCAAAAATAAATAAAATTAAATAAAATTTAAAAAAAAAAAAAAAGATTAACCTTGCTCAGACAAGTAGGTTTCAACCTTTTTTTTCCAACCTAGTCTAATTTTTGGAAGTATAGTAAATTTTAATTTGCTCTCATTGAGTTTTAAAAATGATCATTCATCCCATTCATTATTGGTGAAATAAAGGTTTACTGAGAAAATAAATAGGGCCAGTTGGCTTTTAGGAATGCTTTTGAAAATGTTTATCATGGGGTTAGTTTTCAGTGGGGTAGTTGTTCTCAGTGGGGTAGGTGAGCCTTATTAGAATCACTTATCCAACTTTTCAATATATATGTTTCTGGATGCACAAAGTCCACCCGCCTGCCCCCGCCTCCAAGACACAGTGTCTGCCTGTCTGTCAGTCTGTCTCTCTCTCACCCATGCACACACACCTTTTGACAGGATGGGGAATGATGTGAAGCATGATCATATGGACAAAAGCATCCCGAGTGATTCTCTGATCTTAACCCTAACTCATTCATTCCTAAACTTTGCTGCACACTGCAGTCATCTGGGGATCTTTAAAAACAATCCTGATGCCCAAGTCATACCCAGTGCCGGTTAAATCAGAACTTCTTGAAGCAGAAGCCAGGCAGTTTTTAAAGCTTCTCAGATGATCCCAGTGTGCAGCTGAGCTTGGGAACCCCACTATTTGGTCAGAGGGCAGGAGAAAGAGAACTGCTTCTGATAATTGGTGGGACCTTGGGTAAGTCAGTTTTAAGGCTTGGTTCCCTTATCTGTAAAATGGGTTGTTTAATTAAATGTCATCTACGGTTCAGTGGTCCTTTCCATCATAAAACTTCTAATTCTGTGATTTTAAAATCAATTTGAAGATGAAACTTTGAAGCACTATAGAAGTATCCATCTTTGATGCTAACAGTGTTACAGGCCTTTATACAAGTGCTAAGATTCTATAGACCTATTATAAAATTCAGATTTGCCTTCCCTCAATTATTTTGAGTTTCATTTTAGACACTGAGAACAAAGGGGAGCATAAAACTTAACCAGAGAACCCCTTTGTTGCCTAGTATACAACATCTGTGAATAACTTAGGGATATAGTAACTTAAAAAAGAGCACTTAAGGGGCTTCCCTGGTGGCGCAGTGGTTGAGAGTCCGCCTGCCGATGCAGGGGACACAGGTTCGTGCCCTGGTCCGGGAAGATCCCACATGCCGCGGAGTGGCTGGGCCCGTGAGCCATGGCCACTGAGCCTGCGCATCTGGAGCCTGTGGTCTGCAACGGGAGAGGCCACAACAGTGAGAGGCCCGCGTACTGCAAAAAAAAAA